GTCAAGGTATCGATCGGTGAAGAATAAACGCGCTCCACTCAACATATGAGTATTATCTCCTCAAACTTAGTTAATGGGCTTTTACCTTATTTGGATCATCATCATTATCAGCATATAGCTCTATTTTTTTATATGACTATGGTTGCAATCAGCCTATACAGCCCATCTAATGGTAAACGGTTACCGTAGCTTATAGACGCCTGAAAAAAGGGGTGTCACGTGCGCGTTGCCGAACTTCTAACTCTACGAGTATATATATATATATATATATACTATGCTAATGTTTTATATGAAGTTATACCTAATTTGTTAATAGGCGTTAGTTAACTACTGAAAATAGGTGCTGTATAATGAACCAGTCTCAACGTCATAGGTCAAGTTAAAAGTTCAGGATAAATTTAGTTAATGTCAAATATCAAAGATGTATCGAGTATAGGTATATTCAAGTATGACGTGTAAAGCCCATGAATATTATAAAACCCTCTAGAAATTTTAAACTCATCCACTCATCTGATAAATATTTAATTTCTCTACCTAAGTTCGTCAAATTTGAAGACTATATTAAATTGCGTTTGGGAAACTTCTATTAATATTTAATATAATTTTAACGCCATAGATGAGGTTAACAGCAGCAATATGACGAAAACAAAGACTTATATAGAAGGCACTCCAAACCAAAAACCTGCGTAAGAAATTATATAGAAGCTATAAAGAACTTATAACTCCTTTTAAACTCCTGACAGAAACGACTTTAATCTAAGAACTTTGAACCTCAGGCCATCATCATTTTATAACTTAAGTAATGGTTTTATATTGTTTTTGCGACTAGACTACAACGTCTAGAGTCTAGACTAGTGTACCAAAGTAGACTTCCCTAAAATAATACCTAATTCGATAATATGTATTATAACTAGCTTATGCCCGCGGTTTCGCTCGCGTTAATTTATCCCCTTAGGGATGGAGTTTATCAAAATCCTTTCTTAGGGGATGCCGACGTCATAGTAGCTTTGCATGCACGCAAAATCTCAGCCCGATCGGTTTAAAATTGACAAAGTTTCATACAAACTTTCATCACCTATTTAATCCCCTTGGAGGTAGAATTAATCAAAATCCTTTCTTAGCAGATGCCTACGTCATAATATCTACCTGCATGCCAAATTTCAGCCAGATCCGTCCTGTGGCTTGGGCTGTGCTTTGATAGATCACTACGTCAGTCACGTTTGAGTATATATATTTAGATTATTACCCCATATTTCCAGATTTCCTTCAATTATTCAAATATTTGCTTACACAATGAACCATGTTAACAATTACAAATATAGCAAAACAGAATTAATCAATTAGATTCACCCATTCTAAAGGGATACGTATAAATGCATAACTGCAATTCACCTTATATATAGATTTTTATTTCCGTTGGAATGGGACTAGGAATCGATAAGACGAATACGCATACTAATGACGTAAGGTATGATAGATGTAGAATGATGCAACTATCTAATATTATGTTACCTGCGGAGGCAACATAGGTAACCATTTTACTTCTTCTCTTGAGCTACAAGGAAACTTTTTGTTCTTCTTGTGATGAGTAAGCTTTCCGAATAAGTGGTAGAATAAGAAAATATGGTTATTCAAAAGTGCTTATATTAAGTTTTTTTTTAATAAGGATTGTTTCTATTTTTCTTCTTCTATTCAAAAGTTAGTCAAAGTGGCGTGTAACCGCTAGTATTACACAAATGCGTGAATTATATCTTTACTATCCCTGAAGGGACAATGACTATAAATCCTGGGGCTATTACCCAAATGAACTGGGCAATATAATTGGTATATGGCTGCAATAAAACAGCATTATTAAATCCAAATAGCTTTACCTCAGTACATGCTATACAGGAAAAACAAGCGGATCATAGAGCAAAAATACAATTCACATCTGCTTATACTACTAATTTATGTAATTATATAATTTAATATATTTGCATATCTTTATATATAAAAATTACGTTTCACGTTGTTTGTCCGCTATGGACTCCGCAACTACTAAACCGATTGCTTTTGATTTGCACATTGTTTGCAATTTGATCTAACTTGAAAGATAGGATAGCTTACATCTCAATTTATAGTTGCAATATTATTTTATTCAAGAACTTTAACCACAGCAACACGTGGCCGGGTCTGCTAGTATATTTATATATATCATTTCAACTGTTAGCTGTCAAAATGACATTAACTGTGAGGTTCATTACAGGACAGATGGGGCTATAGTGTTTTCACTAAGTGTATATGAAAGCCTATAGGTTACTTACATAGAATTAAAAAAAATGGCTATCTGTTCATCTTGCTAATCTCTGAATCGGCTGGGCCGATTTTGATGGGACTTTCACTGGCAGATACCTAATATTATAAAATACAACTTAGGCTACTTTCATTTAGAAATTGTATTCAATCACGGAGAGTTTTCCTTAGCCATGCAGACGAACTCGCGGGTAATAAAGTTAATACTAATATTGTAAATGCGAGTTTGTCTGCCCACTTCTTACCATTTCATGACTAAACAACGGAACAGATCCTAATGAAATATAGCATGAAGATAGATCGTAACGAAAACGGGCATAGGCTATCTTTTATTACAAAAAAATATCTGGAAAGGGGTGAAATAGGGATGAATATTTGTACAGACAAAGTCAAAGACTACCTTTTATTTAAAAAAATAATCTGGAAGGGGTGAAATAGGGATGAAAGTTTGTGCAAACGAGGTCGCCGGTAATGACATACAGAGAGATCGTATCCGAGACTATATTTTATTTAAAAAAATAATCTGGAAGGGGTGAAATAGGGCTGAAAGTTTGTGAAAACGCGGTCGGCGGTAATGACATACAGAGAGATCGTATCCGAGACTATATTTTATTTAAAAAAATAATCTGGAAAAGGTGAAATAGGGCTGAAAGTTTCAGATGAAAGTTTCCGAGACTATAATTTTATTTAAAAAAATATTTTAGTTTGTGAAAAAAAACATGCAAGAGAGATCGTATCAGTGCAAACGCGGTCGGCGGTAATGACATACAGAGAGATCGTATCCGAGACTATATTTTATTTAAAAAAATAATCTGGAAAAGGTGAAATAGGGCTGAAAGTTTGTGAAAACGCGGTCGGCGGTAATGACATACAGAGAGATCGTATCCGAGACTATATTTTATTTAAAAAAATAATCTACAGAGAGAAAAGGTGAAATGGAGTCGGGGTAATGTACAGATAAGGGATAAAAAAAAATGGAAAAGGTGCAGTGAAAGTTTGTGAAAACGCGGTCGGCGGTAATGACATACAGAGAGATCGTATCCGAGACTATATTTTATTTAAAAAAATAATCTGGAAAAGGTGAAATAGGGCTGAAAGTTTGTGAAAACGCGGTCGGCGGTAATGACATACAGAGAGATCGTATCCGAGACTATATTTTATTTAAAAAAATAATCTGGAAAAGGTGAAATAGGGCTGAAAGTTTGTGAAAACGCGGTCGGCTAATGATTTTACAGAGAGATCGTATCCGAGTTTTACTAATTATTTAAATTTTTAATTATAGTACCTACAATAGACAATAAATCGTATTTTCGTGAAAATTATTATATCGCGACTATATTTTATTTAAAAATAATCTGGAAAAGGTGTCATTATAGAGAATTGATGGACTATATTTTATTTAAAAAAATAATCTGGAAAAGGTGAAATAGGGCTGAAAGTTTTGAAAACGCGGTCGGCGGTAAACCATGCTCAAATACATAATTTCGGTACATGTTTTTTTTAATAATTGTGCTGTAACCGCAGGCCTCATAGGTCTGTAATAATAATAATAACCCTGGAAAATTCACACAGCACGATCTATTACCAAAACAGAGCTTGTGTTGTTAGTACTAGACAACTGATAGAGATTCTTAAATAGGTACATTTTATATTTGTAAATACATACATACACAAACGAATACAAACAAGGATATTCATGATTACAAAGTTTCCGAGGAATCAAACCCGCGACTGAAGAACAGAAAATCCATTATTCAAATAAACTCAATTTAAGCACTTTTGAATAGTTACAGTTATTCTTCTTTTAATCTACCGCTCATTCGGAAAACTGTCTCATCACAGGAAGAACGAGCGAGAAAATGTGTGTTACTCTTTTAATTTTTTTAAGTCGAAATGTGTAAATACCAACTGCCAACTGGCATTAATTTATTAGGGTCAAATATAAATATACAATAACATTAAATAAAATCGTAGTAATTAGAGTAGACCAGTCCCTACAAGCACCAATCGTTCACGAGTATGACTGATAACCCAGCCATCACTGCGTTGGGTTATCTGCTGCGCTGCAACTCCCTAAAATATGGTCATTTTAGGAAGCCCAATGACCCTGCCCACCACAAAAAACGACCAATGGGCATCTTACCCAAATAATCCCTAGTTAAGATTGGTGTTTTTACATATAATAAACACATTCTTAAATTTCATATGCATTACGTAAAGGAAAATTTAGGAAAAAATAACGAAATTTTCAAATTTGTTACAAATATAGCGTTTTTCCATATAAAAAATATACCTATCGAATTCAAAAATATTTTTTTCACGTACGATATGTTTTCTCTACCGTCTATAGATTCAATTAAGAAGAACTGACAAAAAACTGAGCTAAATTTGTTTTCTTCACTAGGGCTGAAAGTTTGTGAAAACGGTAATGACAAAGCTGAGCTATATTTTATTTAAAAAAATTTGTTTTCTTCAAGCCAATTTGTTAACATTATTTACATATTTAGGTATCTATGTCTAACATTTCACTTTTCACAATAAAAATCCCGAATAAACCCTAAAATAAATGAACAATTGCCATACACGTTTGTCATTTAAGTAATACGTATTAGTTTCTTTTGTTATAAAAACAATGTTTATTTTCATATATATCATTTAAATTCAATGTTTACCCATTAATATGCTTAAATATAATATTAAATACTTACATAAACACAGCAGTTTCAGCATCGTCAACGTAGCACCGTCTAACATTGTGAACAGGTTTTTCTGCATTCTGTAATAAACCATTTTGCGATCTCCCTAAATAAGGGGGACTTAACACTAATAATTATAGTCATATACAATAAAAACTGTATGTATACGATCTTTTATATAAATCACCGTGTAATTTGGCTATGAGTTACCACCATCTAGTCTTTTGAAATGTGAATCGGAGTGTCTACTTATTTTTGTTACTTTTTATACTCAACGCGCGGTTGGAATGGTGGACATCTTGTGACGTCATATAGGGAAATCAATTTTCCCGCGCATGCGCCGATAATCTCCTTGGCCCCTTTTCGTGACCGTGGCACATGTTATGCACCCTTCAATAAAATAGCATACTTTTTTATGAATGAAATTATTCATTCATTTGCTATTTTTGGTTGTTTAGTATATATTCTGTACTATCGACAACAGAGCCTGACTCTTCGACAGTATAGTCCCTTGAACGCTTCACCATACCCAGGCAGCGTCTTCAATTAATTTACCAATAGGCAAGACTTTTCGGATTCTAAAATCTTCAAGCTTTATGACTGACGAATGTACATCCGTGACCGTGGTGACGAAATAGGAATAACATATGTGACCACTAACTAATATCTTTTTTATACGAAGATATATCATACGTTTGATAGACTTCAAGTGTTTTTATACAAAGTTTGTTTTGTTTGTTTGTCATACTTTATTGTACAATAATATTATAAATAAAAGGACACAATTGACTTAGATAAAAAAAACTTGCGTACAATGGCGGACTTATCCCAGAAGAGGGATTTCTTCCAGTCAACCTTTGAGTTACTGAGAGGAATTGCGCAGTGGTGGAAATAGGTACAATAAATAATACGCGTCACAATGACATATATAACTAATAATATATACAGAAAATACACAAAAATATATATACATATACATACATACACATACATATACACATACACATATACATACATATACACATACACACACAAAGTCGTCTGCTTAAGCACCTTTGTGTCATCTCAATTTGTACAGCCAGCACATTACTAGATTGAACGCATTCCGATTTGAATGCTGAGATATGGCGGTAAAATTACAGGTTACAGAAATATAATTGGTGGTCACTTTGCTAGTTATTTTTTGTAACCACATCTGATCGAGTAACCACGCAGTTCCAGTTGAAAACACCGTGATGAATTCCTTGTGTATTCGTCATGATAGGCGAAGTGATCTGAACTGACATATGTATTAGTACTTGCGTATTCGTCACGATAGGCTAACTGACCTGAACTGATATATTAGTATAATACTTTCCACCAGGTACCAGGCAACCAAATGCGTAACCCGCGACTTCAATTTCAATATACTTTCATCCCCTATTTCACCCCTAATCAGAATATTTCTTGAGATATATATTGAAGCCTGGCCTATGTCCGTCGTCGTGATACAGTTCACATTCGTTCCGAAGATTCTTTCAGCCATTAGGTCGTGAAAAGGAAATAAACAGACAGACAATTTTGCATTAGTGCCTAATATTAATATGCATTAAATTGCTACGGCATCAAAGTAATAAAAAGATTTACCGAAGCAGAATCACTGGAATATATTTCTTCTCTAGTACATATTATACCATAACGGCTGTAATCCCAGATTGGGTAGCCATAGGCTTATCTACTGTCGACGTGGTGGTGCTGCCCGTACCTCTTGACATACCAATATTTCATTTAGTAGTTCCTATAGTTAAATATAATATGGTACGGGGCTAATCTACAGTCGTCTCTGGCAATATACATTTATTGTTATCGTTGTTTCCATCACTGGAGAATCAGTAAAAATATATATCTTAAGACTATTAATTCCTGAAAACATCATAGCTGTCACGTCCACGTTGCTGACCCTTAAAACCCTTCATGAAAAAGCATATACTGAAATTATTAGCGAAAACATCGGCATTCAACAATCTGAGTGTGCGTGGGAAGGAACTCCTCTGAGGAATGTTAAGGTGCATACTTCGTCAAGGTTTTGTGTAAATTAATTGAAATAGATACTCATGCGAAACCGGGATGAGTCGCTAGTATAATTATAAAATAAAATATTAGGTTTATCATGTTTAAAATTTGAATCTACTGTTCCATAGCAACAATAATAACACATTGAACGACTCTGGTTGAGAAGAGATTGAAAAGATCATTAAAAATAATATATCATATGCTTGATTCTACTGAACATCTCCGCCATAGAATAATACAGTTAAACCACAATTAATGAAGAATGTCTTAATAATATAATTCTATTATTATAACCAGACCTACACACCATCTAGACACCCTTTAAGGATAATTGGAACGGACTCTTGAAATACTCCAACTCCTTTAACACAATTAATATATTCTAAGTATCAACTCGAGTTCAGAGTTTACAGTATGGTATTAAGATTGAGTTGAAGAATACATACGTTATATACAACCTATGTAGGTACATCTGTAATGACTTTTCAAATGAAATAGCGTTTTTAAAATATGCACCTATTTTTCACCATATATGTATGATTGCTTTACGCTTCAACATATCTGATGGCAAGGAATTAGACCAGCTCCCTGCCAGCACCGGCCCACGTTGTAGCAACGGACCTCCCGCACCTATTTTTGTTACGTTATGAATAATTTTTTTTTATTGATGGTAATGGAATTGTGCTCCGCCAACGCTAACGGTTTTTGACGGCGGAATACCAGTGGAGGATGGTAAGAGGAGCATGAGGTCAGGTCAGTTAGCCCATCGTGACAAATTCATCAGGAATTCATCACAATGGCTTCCAAGTGGAATTGACATGGTACATTGTTAGCAAAACTACTTATAAACTAAACTAAAACTGTTATATTCGGATTACGAGTAGTTCTGTATAATATTATATTAATGTAGAATATGTGTAAAATTTATATTTCTATTTTAAGTTTGATTAGTCCTCTCTAAAATTCCTTTATTTTATAAAATCCGCTTTCTCATTAATTGTTTTTTGCAAAAGGCAAAACCATTACGACGCAAATCCATAAGACATCATTGATTATTTGTCAAAATCAAAATGAACGTCAGTTACTGCCGGTAGTAAGTCAATCATGCTGTGAGTGTCAGTCAAAGACATGAAACAAAACAATCAAAAATAAACATTTATTTCCAATTTATGACATTTTTTTAAGGAAAGTAATATTATTCGTTTTTAAATTGTGATTGAATGTGAATGTATTTGTGAATAAAATGTCACTAAATCCATTAAATGGTACGTTTAATATTCTTTTTATATAAAAGATATACTTAACCTAAAAAACTCACGCCTCTATATTTCAATTTTTAATTGTTCATACCTGAAATCATATTATTTGTATCAGAACAGAACTAAAAATCTATAATTATATAAGCAACTTATATAAAGCTTATTTAGATCTAATTGTCATAGAAACTTGTCTATGCTCATGTTTCATAGTGCCATTGAGGTTATATTGAATTTTATTTGTTTTGTGGAATTTCCCTGTAATTATTTGTGAAATTATTAACATTTGACTGACTATTACCAGGTCAGGCTCTATGACCTTATTTCTCGAATAAATCAATCTATGCTAGAATAACTTAGAATGTTGACTTATGTAGGATACTTTGACAAATTACCTAACTGGAATGGTATCAAGGGTAGTATCACATTATAATGTGATGGCTACCTCTTACTATCAGATTGACAGTCAGCTTGTTTGCTTCTTCATTAATCAATAATGCAAGTGGAGCTGTGACCATTTTCCATGATCTTCAACCATTCTTATTAATTGTTGATACGGAACATGACTCCAAAAAATATATTAACTGAATTTATTTATTACCTAAATAAACAATATAATAAAAAGACAATATTTTCTTTTTTATTTTGTTTAGAAAATATATTACCGCTAAACTAATACTATATTTCATAAATTTTCAGAATTAAAACGCAGATTAGAAGATAACACTGCCTCATTGCCTAAAAGACTTTGCCTTGCCAAGAATGTGATCAGATCTCACCACTTCCCCACAGCACCAAAGGAGAGACTAGTGGCTGAGTGGCTTCAAAGTCTGATGACGAATAATTGTCTTTCTAGTGAGGACTTAAGGAATATTGTTACTTGGTTAGACATAGTCGATGATCTAACTACTGAGCTGAAGATTCATTTAATCCAGGTAATAGTTTATTATTATTATGGATGATCGTGGAATGGTGCATGCGCCTGTGTTAACAGTACACACTTGCAGGCCATCAGTGGAGGATGATAAGATGAGCATGAGGTTAAGTCAGTTAGCCTATCATGGTAAATTCACCATGAATCTATCATGATGGTTTCCAGGAGAAATCACTTGGAAAATGTTCTATTATAAAATTAGTGTAAATTTGTTGTTAATGAAACACATTTTCTCCAGGCATGTTTATTTTATTTAAGGAAAAGAGAGAGCCTGACCCTCGGTAGGCTATTTTAGACCCAAGGGACTGAGCTTTTATTGCCTAAAATTATGTTTTCAGATTGTATCCCAATACTTACAAAGAAATCCATTAAAGACTGAGGATATAGAGACTCTGGTATCATTCCTAGAAAACAATAAAATTTCTTCACAACTCAACACATCAATTGATGAATATTTGCACATAGCTATCACTTTATTGCAATACTTTAGGGTTAATGAACCAAGCAAATTGATGCTAGACAGAGTATTTAATAATTTAATAAAATATTACAAAGATTGTAAAAAGAAACTCGAATTTGTTAACAAATTTTTAGGAAATGATAACTTAGAAACAATTTTTAGTTATTTGGATACAGAAATCCGGACTGCTGCTGTCAATGTATGTGAAAATATTCTATTTCCTATTAGTAGAAAGTCTTCTTTTATCAATTACCTCCAAACATTAATAAGAAAAGACAATTTAAATGAATTAATAGCTGAAAAAGGTGACAATATACAGTCTGTATTGAAAATTATGGACATATTTTTTTCTTTCCCTAAAGGACGGACTAATAGAGATCCCAAATTCTTAAAAGATTACATTGATGTTTTCGTAAGTTGTTACCATAAAGAGAGCCAATTGATATTTGCCTTTTACATAATTGTAACAAATTTTTTAAACATGGAACAGAATTACCTTGTACCTGTTACCAAAATGACTCCTGTCCACTTTGATGAAAATGATGAGAATATTAAAAGGAATCTGTTTTTAAACATGCTTGAAACTGTTTTAAGAAATGAAGTGGATATAAACACAAGATTGACGGATACATTTGGTGAAAAAATATCTAAAGTTGAAATTAAAAAGACCTCTTTACTCTTCCTTCAAGCTGTCATGGCGGGACAGCTAAAATTGAAGGGAAAACCTGATAAAGTTACACTGCAGATATTAAAAACTGCATTGAAATTGGATCCCATATTGATTGAGCAAAAATTGATTGATATATTGCCACCTTTGATGGTAATGAAAAAAAATAGTACGAGTGTCAAAGAGTATTACACGGAAATGTTGAACTGCTTATTAGAAGTGCTATTTAAACTTAGCAGAGGAGTTTCATTTATAAATCTTATTCTACCAAATGTTAAAAATTGTTTGGAAGATTGCAACACTGTTCAGTTTGATATGAAGCAAAAATTGAAGGAGACTGAAGAGAGTGATGAGAATTATAATAAAATTAAAAGTAAAATAATCAGGGGTGATGATGTGTTTCCTACAAAATGTGTAGAATTGTATGGGAAGTTAACATCTGAGTTGATGTTTAGACAGAATAAAGAGTTGTTGATATCGCTACAGAAAGATTTTGAAGTGTATTGCTTGTTAATGCTAGAAGAAAATTTTGTCAGTAAGTATTCTTTTTTATTTTATCCCGATAAACTTAGTAACAAATTATCTACATAAGTACCTATAGTCTCATTAATTTCAGCCAAGGGATAAGTGTATCATAAAGTGAAATTACAGGACAAGGGTCGTGACATTTTAGTTCTCCATTCTGCAGGACTAAAATATCATGCATGAGTACTATATCGGGCTTCATATAATAACATGATGTCGATAGTGCTATTCATCAGGTGTGCTATTAGATTGTTTACCATTTAATCAAATTACATAAAAAAATATATAATACCAGCATTATTTTAATATCAATAAAATAAATATCTGTTTAATATTTTATCAAAATATTATTTACTGAAAAATATGTTTTCAAATTTTCAGGCCCTTCAATTATAACGCTAACAGAAGTTATATCGGCCATTTTGTCAAGTTTTCTGCAACACAATAAGATGGCGGATCACACCGTGCCACAGAATGTCGCCCAAGAATTCTGGGCTTCCTTTGAAAATTTTGAGGAAGAGTGCTTGAAAATGTTTGGAGAATGCATACTAAAACTTAATTATGTTAGTGAGAAGTTACTTATCATATAATGTTATTAATTTTAAATGCATAGCCAAAACTAAGTCTTTTAAGTACTTTTGGGAGTATTTTTCAGATATCTGAAAAATACTCCGGATCAACAGATATCTGTTGACCCTGATTTAACATCTGTGAATTTCCATCTAGTTTGAGTACAATATAATACTGAACCAGGATCTTAATGCCAATATAATGTTTAAAATTCCATTTCAGAATCCACCATTAATGTTATCTTTTTTGAAACTATGTCTAAGTTACTCACAATTGAAAATATTGAATCTGAAATATAGTAACACCAAATTAACACTGTCAAATATTGGTACACCAGATACTTTCGACTTGAGTATGTTACTACCATGTTTAACTGGTGAGCAATGGACTGTGCTCGCCTCAAAAATAGCAGACGATGTAGAGACTACACTTTTGGTAAGTTATTCAAATCAAATAGCTCATTGCTTTTATATTGTACTAGGGACCCGTTCTGGCTTCTCACAGATGCATTACAAATCGTTTAATTTCTCGGCTTGTTCATAACTACAACACACATGTATTATACATATAAACCTAACTCTTTAATAAGTGTGTTAGTTCCTGAAAACTGCATTAAAATCCGTAGCGTAGTTTAAAATGTATAAGCGAACAGAGAGCGGCGGTGACTTTGTTTTATACTATGTAAGGATACTCTATGCATGGCTGTTCTAGGTAATACACTATGGCATAACGTTTTGAGGTTTGCTGGAAGAAATCTACAAGCTCGACCTTGTGTGTTTTATTTATCTATTTATCATATTTCTGTAATAACAATAGCAATGCAACAAAAATAATTTAATTTACAGTGTTTCTTCTTTAGAAAAAGTTAACCATAAACAGATATGTTATCTCTTTCAAAAATTCGTTTCAAGTAAATTGTTCATTAAATATCTTGTAAGTATACAACTTTGTTAATATTTCTATAAAATTTATTTTAGGATGAATTAATACTAACAAAAACAATTGCTCTCCAAATCTTTTATGATAATGAATCATCTGATGAAGCTATAACGTCTTCAAAATCGCATCTAATCAAGCAGTTCTCTAAAAATAATAATGCAGTTGTAACAAATGGTATAGCCAAAATATTATTCACTGATTTAGATAAAAACCAATTGAAAAAATTATCGAAACATATAGTTAAACTATCATTCAATGATACAGAAAACAAAATGCTAACAAATGAATCATTTAGTAATAATATACCTTTATTAAATGCTTTAGTAGTTGAGACTTGTAAAATTATCGCTAATAATATAGAAAATGCTGATGCATTGGCGAAATCACTGAAGAAAATAGACTTTGACATAACAAATTTTGCTAAAGAGCAGAATATGAAAGAGTATTTCAATCAATTGAGTTTTAACGGTGACGATGCAGTGTTATTAAACTGTGTTGAAGTATTAAAACAACTTCAAATATATTATCTAGATGAGAAATGCCAGTTATTAGCTATTTACTTATTGTTGATATTGAAAAAATGTGGTCAAAAGAAACTAAGACGCAACATTGATCATATATTGCGCAGTATTTTCGAATTGAGTAACCAAACGCCTGATATATACAAAATATTTCCAGTAGAAGACATATTTTCTTTTGAAGACAAAATTATATTAGATTTATTAACACTGAAAATCAAAACGTCAAACAATTTCTTAATAATTAAGAATATTATAGAATCAGCTGTCAGAAGAGTTAGGACAGAGAGTGATTTAGTTAAAAATATAGTTAAACTGATTCTAAAGAAACAAAATAATAATAATGATGGTAGCATTGAATACTTTGGTGATCCTGCTTTCCAAATGACTTGTATAATTCTACCGTTGCTTGTTAAACAGAAAAAAGCTATAACAGCCAGCGCTTTTAGATCAATATTAGCAGATCTTCAAGAGAAACTACACAAATATCTTCTTGATTCATTTAAAAAAATAAATTTTTATGAAATTACTAATGTACTTAATGCTAGCAGCGGCAACACTGATGAGAGTGTAGTAGTTTCTGAAACGGCTATGGCAACACTGAATGCTATGGCTGCATATGCTATAACTTTGTCTAAGTATTGTGAAACCACAAATGCAGAGGAAATAATGAATTTGGATTGTCTCTGGTCTGGCTTAGAATATTTCGTACATAGTGCTGTAAGTATTTAATGTAGTATCTTAATATATATAATTTGTTGTGTGGTTCTCACCTAAACTGCTGAACCGATTTTTATGAAATTTTGTATATATGCATAAATGGGTTCCTACATGGTTTGAAAACGCAGTTGAAATGTCTATTACTCTTAGTCTTAGTCTTAGTTACCAAATTTGATTTGCTAAACATTTGACTACCATTTACCACTTGTTTGTAAAATTTATTTATTTTGTCTGTTAAATTAGTTGTAAAAGTAGAGTTAAATAAAAATTAGAAATTTTAATTAATATTTTTATACCAATGTTAGTGTTTTTTTTTTGTAAATACATACTATTCATAGAAAACAACCAAACCAATACAAACAATAATATTAATGAGTAACTACTTACACCGTGCGAGGATTCGAACCCGCGATCATCGGAATTAAGTAGGTATGTTAAACCACTAGACCACTGAGTTTATCATGGCTAATCTTATGTTAATCTCAACATTTACAGATTAATACAATTCAAAATCAAGAATCAAGAATTCTACATGTCGAATCCTCAATACAACTCTTGAATGTTGTTTTAAGATATCTAAAGAAACTTGAATCGCATCATATATTTGAGACCAGAGACAAATTGTTCTTACAAATATGGCAGAGTGTGAAATCTAGATTGTTTATGATCTATGGGAATAAAAAACATGTTTATGTAAATAATGGATGTATAGAAGATATTGGTGTCACTCTGAAGTTCTTGTGTGAAGTATCGAGTGTGGAGTGCTTCGCTAATGATTTCGTTGTCGAATTGAATAAATTGACGATTTTGGAGGTAAGACTTTATAAAAAAGTAGCTCTTTGTACGGTTTCATCCGCGTAAAATTTATGGCCTATATGTTATTCTGATGTATAAGCTATATTATTGTAAAGTTTAATTAAAATCCATGCAGTAGTTTTGGCGTGAAAGATTAACAATTATCCATCCATCTATCTACACTAACAAAATTCTGTTTAAAATATTTGTAAGAAGACTCCGCATCTCGTCATCATCACTTTCTTTTTATAATAATCATTCATGATAGATTCTTTCAATGATTTCATAATATAATGTAAGTTTAATAGTCATATTTTTTTTAATCTACCGCTCATTTGGAAAGCTGTCTCAACACAGAGGATCGATAAATAAACTTGTGTGTTGCTCTTTTAAAATTTAGTTGTAATTTATTATGTATAATACTATTTCAGAAACTTCCACACAAACCTAAAGACAATAATTTAAACACACTATTAACAACGCGCCAAGTATCCAAATGTATGTGGAATAATTGTTTGAAAGCGAACATTGTTGGGCCCAAATGTGTAGCCATGTCGAAGCTAATGTTTAACGCATGCAAATCAGCAAAACTTAGTATGTGGCAACACCATGAAGCTGAACAATATGGTGTGAGTATTAAAAGTAAGAAGAGAAAATTCTCAATTGAGATTCATGATGATGATGTGGAAATCAAAATAGTAAAAATAGAAGATTCAGCTTGTGAAATGTTGAAGTTATTTTTAGATACACTTTCTGAAGCTATTTTGGCAGCTAAAAAGGTTAGTAATACTTTATTGACTCATAAAATAAATGGTTACAATGGCTAACTTATCCTCAACAGAGATCCCTCTTTTGAGGATAAGTTAGCATTTTGTATTGTAATGTCTAACAATTTTTAATTATCATTTTCTTTTCAGATAAATTTGGATTACAAATTCTTGGATTCAATATTTGAATTGCAACATCTTATCCAATTTATTTTGGGCTGTAACACTCTAAGGATAAGGTGCGATGTGTCTTGGCAAGCGTTTTTCAGACTGTTTGACGGATCTATTTCTATATTGAACAGCTTGTTGGTGTCCAGGGAGGAGTTATTAGAAGATAGGTACCTAATTTTTATAATTTAAGGATGGTGGAGTTTTCCTCACCTTCTACATTCCTCCTTTATTGTCTTATATATTGATAAGACACAACTCTTTTTCCTTATCTACTTCATATTATGTCTTGATATTTCCGTCCCCTCTTACCTTCTATTTTTCATCAAGTACAGTAAGATATTCAGTATACTTATAAAATAATATGTCTTCACTTCATGAAAGCTGAAATTCGGAATATATGCTTATAATATAACCTAAGTGATATTTTTTTAACATTTCAATTTACCTAATCAAATATTATTATTGTTTGTATTAAGTTCATTTAAATAAAGATTATTTCTATTCTATTGTATTCTAACTGGAATGGATGATTGATCTAAACTAACATCCCATTCATGTACTAGTGAATGAAAATGTATCTACTTAATAATAATAAACCGGGACAAGAAAGTTAGGAAAAGTTTGTGTTTCCATTTGTACTGCTGCACATAATATTCCTGGTAATATGTTCGTATTTAATTCTTTCACTGTACTATAATTTTGTTGTATGTTTGTAAATAAATTATTTATTTGTCTCGTATTTAATTCTTTCACTGTACTATTATTTTGTTGTATGTTTGCAAATAAATAATTTATCTATCTGTCATCATCATCATCATCATCATTCGTGCTTGTGGCACCTATCTTGCAATTCCACTGCAGAGAACTAAATTAACATATATTATGCATGATTTCAGATGGCCATGCTTCATGCAATGCTATAGAGCACTTGTAACCAGCTTATGTAAGCGGTGTACAGCTTCAGAAGAATTGGACAGAAGCATAGAAGAGAAGTTAGCAGAAACTGCACATAGCTTGGAAAAGTATGTTATTGATTATATGAGTGGTTATTTTGCATATTGTCGTCTCTGTCTACCCCATTTGTGATCTGGACGACGTGAATATATAAATTGAACAATCTGATATTGTCACGGTATCTCTAGCATATGCATAGTTAATATTTGGAAAATGCAAAAATTAGTACTAACCCATAACAACTCACACAGCGCCATCTAGTTCCAAGCTAAGCAGAGCCTGTGTTATATTTACTATACAAGTATTTTTTTTTTAATTACATAAATAATACATAAGAAGAATGGGAAAGAAAATTGTGTGTTGCTTTTTTAAATAATTTAAATTTTAAAGTTAACCTTTTTAAATAGCACAATTACTGTTTAAATAATATTACATATATTACTTAACTTAGTAAATAAAAGAGAACTACATGCCTGCAAACAAACCCCGATAGGAGTTTTACAGTACAGTATTTGTAAACATTGTGTGTTGAAAAATTAAGCTTTTTATCTGTCTATTAAGTACATTTCAGATTGACTGAGAAAATTGTGTGTTGCTATTTTGTAACTTTCGTTCTTAAGTTGAAATGTGAATACAAACTAAAATAGCACTAATTCATTAAAATATTAAATACATTTCAGATTGACACAGTCCATCAGCAAACGTAAAGTCCACGTGTCACGTATAGCAGCATACACCGTCGCGGACATTTCCTCAACAATAGAAAGAACCGCTCCACCACGCCTTCTACGGCAGCATCTAGAGAACTCCGTCTCTCTACTGATACAAGTGTCAGACACAAATTACTCTGTCGCGTTCTTGAGACGCGCTCTAGCGGGTCACCCTGGTCAGATGACAATGACTAACTTGTATACTATGTATAAAAGGTATAATAAGTATGTGGGGAATGCTTAGTATGCATTCCTGGTATGTCTGTATTACTGGTATGGTATTGCCTGGTATGTATACATTCCTGGTATGTATGCATTCCTGGTATGGCATTAACAAACAATGCCGTAGTGTAAAGGGTGCAGGTCGGCCGGCTGTTGGCCTTGGGTTGTATCGGCGAAAGACCACGCTACCCCCTATTGTCATTGCTATACCTGCAATATTATAATATGACTTTGTATATTTTATAAGGATTATGTTTATTGTATAATAAAAATCATTAATTGTTAACGAAGTTAATGTTTTATTTTGTTACCCGGAAAATATATAACGTACCTACTCAATATAATGTAACTAAAGACGATAAAATACATTTAAGTAATTATTCATCATAAATAGACAGCTAGCTTATTTCTTATCACAATAAGCATACAGATGGTGACTAAATTTTGTCTGCAAAATGAATATTTATTGCCTGCCAATAAATTGTTGGACACTATTTTATACATATATTTTCAAAATCTATGTTTTATATCTGTCAATAGTAGTAGTAATAGTAACAGAACAGCCTCATCTGTCTCCATCATACAGTCCCGTAGAAAATTAAAAGGATTTCATGTTAAGTAGCCGTACCTGTGGCCATACAAAAAAAAAGAAAAGAAGGTCAGACATTCGATGCAGATCATTTAGTAAGCGCATTCACAGGTTTCGAAGCAAAATGGGTGTATTCGCTATCCATATTTGGTTTAAATATATTTATATTTTTAAACAGATGATAATGGAATAGTGTACTCGCCCTCGCCATATACTTATGGCGGGAGCATGGTGGCAGGGAACAGTGGAGAATGACAGAATGAACATGAAGTCAGGTTAATTTGCCCAGAGTTGAATTCTCCAGGTATAACAAGTGTGATTCCAAGGCGGGATCGCCTGAACGTCGACCTAACAATGATAGTAACGGGAGTAATAATAATTATTAACTATGCCACTTAAAAATAAAATTTTCCTTTTTTATTTTGCCTGTTTCAGAGTCTTTCTCAGTAATATTTATCTTCTGACCTTGCAAATAGCTTTTTTAAAGTAATATTACAAAAATCTACAAATATATTTTTTCTTAATAATTCAGAATTGTATTAATTGAAATGCTTGAGTACCGAACCCAAGGCTTTTATTTTATTACAAGAGTATTTTCTTAGTTCTACAAATATTTAACAAAAAACAATGCAATTATTGTTTGTAAATATAAGGAATATGATGACAGTATTATTTGTTGTATAAGAATATACAACATGCGGTAAATAAGCATACGATCTGCGTGATAGTAAGCAATAATGTCTATAGCGTCGTTGCGACGCGACGTATTGTAATTTTTATTAAATATAATAAATATAATCTATGTATAACCATATAATTATACTTTGTTTGTTTCTCCATTTCTGGATACCCGTAATTTCATTTCCATTATCAAACGCGGGCTAATTTAAAATCATTCAGGCGATTTTCAGTCTTATCAATCGGTCCGTATATGGGCATTAAATGAATAAAGAAGCGTGATTGGTTAAAATATTGTCGTCGCTAGTGACACCGGTGAGTCATATTCAAAACAAAATTACAGTTATTTATTTTATTTCTGCGTGACATCCAAACGCGGCATTATTTAAAAACTAATTACAATTTTCTGTATAAATATGCCTGACCGTATATGGGCATTTATTCAATACTGAAACGTCATTGGCGAGATTGGTGGATGTTCATAACGTCACCAGAAATTATGTGGTAGTCCTATCAAAATTAGTTTTATCTTTTTTACCATATAAGGCAATTGTATTATTTTATCTAATCTCATCTATGAGAAAAATACTCTTTAAATACGATAACTATGTAGTCGAATCTCATTCCAGTTTAATGCGTAATGCTGATAGTACATATTAGTACGTAGGTAGATTTCGTTTCTTGTTATGTTGTCAATCTTGTACTCTACTTGAAATTTAAATCGTGAAGTGCTCTCACTTTGGTAAACTATTTTTTTAAAAGTATTTTTCAAATAATATTGCGTAAATAATATATTTAATAAATTTCTAGTTTAATATTATAACTGTGATAATTAAAGCTAACTATAAATAAGTGATATCTGAAATTTTTGTTATATAAGGAACTGTATTGACTCACTACTATTTTGACACATGCTCTCATAGGCTCTGTCAAATACGTGTAGCCAACATTCCAAACAGTGTCGTTCCGGTCGCCTCTGTCGTGTGTCGGTGAAGTTAGTGGTGGAATTTTTACGTGTAATAACATCAAAAAATGGTAAGTGAAGAATATAAATTGCAGTGTTTTACGTCCGCGTTGTGTTTTCCAATTACGGAAGTGTTAAAATTTGATTGTGGAGACCGCAATTACAACGTATTTCATCTTATTGGGACCGGTGCCGCCATATTCCGCACAACCCTCCACCGAGTTCGCACGCCTTTTATTAAAAATAGTTGTCACCGTTCAGTGATTTTTTGCCACGTGTTGTGTTTTTAACGTTAGCCGTAGCCGTACGATTTTTTCAGTTGATGTGACAAGTGAATGTTCATAATTTGAAGGATGTGTTCGCACGGTGTTAAATTTCACTGTCCAGCTATATTGGCACCACCTTTTTTGACTTGCGGCGCGGTCATCTCGTCCTTTTTACTGCGACGTCGGTTTTGTATGCATTTTGGTACGTGGCCTATTGGTTTTTAGTTATCATATGCTGTCAGTCGCCACAGGGGGCATCGAACTTGTGGCAATGCAACGCCGCGCAATCGCATTTGTTTGACCATATATGGTATAGTTGGCGTACCAAAGACTGTCACACATTTGAGTCTATTTTCGGGGTGAATACAGACGCTACGTCTTTTGGGCGCGCCCTGTTTGTACCTATTGCTATTCAGATGACTTGACCAATCCAGTGTCAAGGTCATGTACCTATTTAGTTCGATAAACTTGCCTCCCGCCTGTATTCATAATAAAATTAATCATTGACAGTTTTGATTTGGAGAATATTTAAATAGCAATTACTATTTAATTAGCAATTACTCACAGGAAACTTTAACATTGGTATAAAAATTGCCATGAATATAATTTGCTATCTATATATTATTATCATTGATGACTGGGTACTTTAAACATCCTACTGCTTACTCATACTCTTGAAATTAATAACAATCACATTTTCTCTATTATTTTGAGCATTTTAAATATGACCTTACTGCACTATCATAAGACTTATTATAATGGTATCAGAACTCATAAATACAAGAAAAAAATCATATTGATCTCTAATTCAATCTATTAATTACTATACCACACACATATTATCACAATGTACTAATAATAATAATAAATAAAGTAATCACAAGATATTTAATACAACATACAAGCCCTGATAAATAACCTTATATGGGACCGGAAAGTATGACCATATGTGTCCCAAGTTTATTTTATACTCAATATAATTTATATATGTTAATAAATTGATATTACCTACATGGTTTATGTCATTCCTAAACTATGCACATATTATAATCTTAATGTTGGACAAAATGTCACAAATATAATATCTTTATATTTTTTACATTATTGTTGGCATTACACCATTGAGACTTCTGGTGTTTCAGGATGGTAACTGTTTACTGTCAGATGGATGGTATGCTTGATTGCCACTATAGTTGTATAAAAATTGCAAACAAATAGACAACACATAGATTAAACAGTCCCTTAAAAACTACATGTCCTGGGAACTGCTCAGAGTGACCCTCTCTGCCACTTCAAGGATTCGGCACCTGCATGGTGAAATCATGGAACCCTTAGAAATTCTCTTATAACCATCATACACAGACATTACAATATAAACTTAAATGCCTGTGAAATCTGTAAGGTGGAATAATTCTGGCAAACTGCACTGTTTTGCCTAAGTACCTAGTAGTTTCCCTGCAATATGACACTTCTAATTTGTTACATAGCCTGCTGAACTGTTGGTTTAGCAGTAAAAACGTGTGAGATAGAACTGCTTAGCCCACTTTAACATATCTATATGGTTATTATTTATATATACATATAAATTCTCACACAATACACAATTTCTATCTACAAAATTAAATGATAATCAAATATGTCAATGTATGAGTTAGGAATCTCCAAAGCTGGAATATGCATGGTATGGGCTATGAAATAGTATGACATCTACATTCACATACTAATATAATTGTTTTCTTATCTCATCCTTACCACCAATATTATATATTCATTTTAGTGTTTTAACACATTTCTTTGAACACAAATAACACCAAACCAGATAATATATGCAGATTTTTTTACACACTACCCACTTAGGACTTAACAAAGTGAAAATGTTAAGTATAAAACATTTAATAGAAGTGACTAACCTGTCTTCAACTGGTAATAGAATTTGTCATATGTTATTGCTTGCTTATCACTCTAATATCTGATTTGGACAAACTTTTATCATTTGCAAATGTAATTTTGTATGTACCTTTAAATAATATATAATTGAAACCTATCATTATATAGTATGTTAGTTTGTAATTCTATATAAGTGATGTTGTTTTTGGAACTATTATTATATCTTTAAAGGTAACCAGTGATCCATCTTCTGCTAAGGTGGTCATAACTTTGTTATTTTTGTATATTTTAAAAACATATAGTAAATACCTATGTCACTCTGGCACATTACTAACCTTTAAAACAGAGAAAGAATTTCTCATATCAGTGCAAAGTCCTGATAATACCTCTCTCTATCTCTAAAAATCAAAATACTTTTTTCTAATTATGTCCCTGAAAAACACTCGAGTCTGTTATATATAGATATATATATATATAGATATACACACCAATACAAATGTTTTCGTGAACAAGCGTCGAACCAATACTGGTCGATGTAAGGCAGTCTGCTCGGCAGCTGGACCATCGAGGTTGTCGTCAATCATTTAATCTATGTATATAATACTAAATTGTGTTATATAGCCAACTTTTGAACGGACATAACACCACGAGGCAACCATATTTGCTAGATTTCCTTATTTGCACAATAATATCGAACATAATGCGTGTTATTCACCTTTGTGAATCACGGAGTTTTTCTATAGGGATGAATCATCTTGCATTATACCTGCATTTGTCAGAGACTGGCAGCAGATAAATGTGTTTCCGGGGATGGACGATGTATACATGTTTTATGTTAAGAGGGAAAGGTCTATAAAGTGTGAAAACGGGGTGGGGGCGGTCCTTTAACGTTACATTTAAACATCAAATGTACCTAAGTATAATATTAAAATACGAAATTTATACTACCTAGGAACAGAAATAGTTCTAATTTCGAAATTTGAAATGTTACACTAGTAATTAGTCTAATGAATTTAGTAACAGATATACTTGGAATTTCAAAATTTGATGTTACACTGGGGAAGGGTTTCACAAATGTAGTAAAATAAATAGTTCGAATTTCTAAATATCTAATGTCACACTAGGGTGTGGTGTCGTAAATGCTTTAACAGAAATAGTTCGAATTTCAAAATTTGTGATGTCACACTAGGGGTCATATAAATGTGACTAATTGTGCCGATGACGGGGAAACAGGTGTTCGGATCACGATATGTATGTGACGTATGGATGGCCTCTAAATGTAATGACTAACAAGCTAACGGTCAACTCGATGGTGAATGGCAACCATAGCGTATATACATGAACAATACCACGGAACTTAGCTCACAAAGCATATTGCTTTGCGGCAGAAGTATTTGAGATATATTTTCGTCGTTTAGGTCAAATTTTATTACATCCGCCGATCTCTATTATGCGGGAATCGAACATACCGATTTTTATAGTAAGAATATGATAAAACAATACCAATACTGCAATATTTTAGAACAAGTCTTTTGTAGTATTCTAGTACAAAGTCGCGAGAAAAACTAATGTCTCCAACACAGGTGAAGCTCATGTAATTAATGTTTATATGACTCACTCAGTAAGTCCAATAAAAAACGTTAAGAAAAAGTTCAAACGCTCTTATTATCTTATATGTAAGATTCAAAATGAATTCTAATGATGTGATTCATGGCCATTGAATCACCAAACGGCTTTAGATACACGTACATGTCAATACATAATTTATGGGGCACAGTCTAGTCTTTCGAAAGCATATATCTATATAGAATAAATCAAATATACCATTGCGACTGTAATCTCACATAGGGTAGGGTAGTCAGTCACTAAATAAATAACTCTGGATAATTAACACCATCGGCATCTAGTCCCACGGTAAGCAGAGCTTGTGTTATGGGTACTGAACAACTGATTTAAATATTTAGATACGTTTATTTTTGTAAGTACATACATAATATAATTCAAATTTAAAAATAATCAAATTATCTTTATTCATGTAGGTAAGTATATTACAGGCTCTTATGATATGTCAAATCTATCGTCAGTTCGGAATGATTTCGAGATGAGAAAAACTGACAGATTTATAGAAAATACCCAGACCGATACAAACAATCATACTCATGAATACAAATGTTTGCACCGTGCGAGATATCGAATCCGCGGCCATCGACCGCGTCTGCTGAACCGCTAGACCACAGAGGTCGTCTAAATAACATACAGAATATACATAGCAGTACTCTGTAGGTATAATTTAGCACAGTTGCAAATTGGTAATTCCTGAAATTATTTTTGTTCGTAAGAAACGTTTGTTTTTGCTTCTTAACCAGCATAATCTGAACAAATGAACGTTAACGTAAACAGTTAAAACTAGAGAACACACTGGTATCTGTAGTTGGAATCAAAATAATTTTATCTTCTCTATACATCTTATTTTTACTTTCTGTGTCCACCCAAAAGTAGTCTAGAAAAATTGCTTAGCGATAAATAAATAAATAATTTAAATACGTCTGAACAAGTTTTAATGAAATTTGTCTTGTCGATAGAATGTACCACCAGAATGGACATGGTTCTTTTTTTTAAAACAAAGCAGAGGAAGTCACGGGTATTAGAAGACGCGGGGTCTGTCTGTTTGGTCTGCTGTCTGTTTGCTTATATCTTTTAAAGTACTCAACGTATTTCAGCAATATATAGTGATTCAAGAGGAAGGTTTATATGTATAAATACATGCTTCTTATAGTATAAAACAAGCCGAGGAATTCAAAGATTTGTAATGCATCCGTGCGATACCGCAACTGGTCGCAAGTATATATACATATATAATTTCCTATACCATGACTCAAAGTAGAAATAGTGCCCATTCTAAATGGTAGCGAAACGGT